CAGCAGCAGTCGCCGCAGCCGCAGCCTTCGCAGCAGCCGCAGCAGCCGCCGCAGACGAGGCAGGCGAGTACTCTCCCACCTGGGTGGCCTGGAGCTGGTGGTGGTCGCGCGCGTGGTGGTGCACCGGGTGGTGGTTCTGGAGGCGGGCCCTGTCAGTACCAGATCCAGACCGGTCCTCGCCGCGGCTTCGTTTGCGGTAAGATCGGTCATTCTACTCCTCGCTGTTTTCGTCGTCTGGACGACCTGTTCCGCCAGCGCTTTGGCCCGGCGCCCGACCTCCCGGACTGGCACAGCTTGCTTAGGCGTAGCATTAGGATTTTTGACTTGGACATGGATGCCATTGTAGCGGCCTTGCATGTGATGTATGCTGATGACTCTAGTGTGCTTCCCTCTTATTACCCCGTATTGCCTAGTGTAGCGGTGCCTAGCGTAGACTCCCCTGCTGCGTCAGGCGTAGGATCTCCTGCTTTGCTTAGCCTTGGTGCTTCCACCGCTTCACTGCCGCCTCGCGCGACTGCTGCGCTTTCCTTCACCTTGGACTCTGGCGCCTCCCGGTGTTTCTTCCGCGACTCCACGACGCTGACGCCGCTGCCTGTTCCCGCTGCAGTTACTCTTGCTGACCCCTCCGGTGGTCCCGTCGTTGCCCGCAGTTCCACCTCCCTTCCCTGTCCGGCGGTTCCTTCAGGTTCGCTCACCGGTCTGCATATCCCCTCGTTCTCCAGGAACCTAGTTGGTGTCGGCTGCCTCCAGGACCTTGGCGTCACCACTACGTTCCCTGGTCACGAGCGGTATGCTGTCTGTACCGAGGCCGCCACTGGTGCCCCCCTTACCACTTTCCCCCGGGACCCGGTGTCCGGCCTGTTCACACTTGACACCGCGACGTCCCCGGCTGGGTCTTCCCCCCAGGTAGCTGCGTCCACCCAGGTTGCTGCTGCGTGCTCCTGTCGGTCCCTCACTCATCCGACTCTCCTTTGGCACCACCGCCTTGGTCACCCTGCACTCCCGCGTCTGCGTCACATGTCCCAGCACGGTCTCGTCCTTGGTCTCCCCGGTTCGTTCCCTGAGTTTCCCTCATCCCCCGCCCCACCGTGCACGCCTTGTGTCGAGGGCCGGCTCCGCCGTGCCCCTCACTCCTCCTCTTTTCCCCCTACCACCGCACCCCTGCAGACTCTGCACATGGACGTCTGGGGCCCAGCCCCGGTCCATGGGCCGCGTCGCGAGCGCTTCTTCCTAGTGCTTGTCGACGACTTCACGCGCTACACCACCGTCTTCCCCCTGGAGCGGAAGGCCGACGTGCCTGACGTTCTCATCCCCTGGCTTGTCTCTGCTCGTGTCCACCGCGGTCTCCCTGCCTTGCGCCTCCACTCCGACCGGGGTGGCGAGTTTGCCTCAGGTGTCCTTGGTCGCTTCTGTCGTGCGGAGGGCATCACCCAGACGTTTACCCTGCCGGACTCCCCGCAGCAGAATGGGGTCGCTGAGCGACGCATCGGTTTGGTCATGGAGGTGGCTCGCACCTCCATGATCCACGCCGGTGCACCCCATTTTCTGTGGCCGTTCGCCGTGCGCTACGCCGCTCACCAGCTTAACCTGTGGCCGCACCCCCAGCGGCCGCAGGTTTCGCCGACCCTTCTGTGGACCGGGTCCCCTGGTGACGCGTCTGCGTTCCGCGTCTGGGGCTGCCTTGCTCACGTTCGTGCCTCTGGCACGGACAAGCTCACTGCCCGCACCCTCCCCTGCGTCTTCCTTGGTTTCCCCCTTGACGCGTCCGACTGGCACTTCTACCACCCGCCGTCTCACCGCTTCTTTCACTCTCGCGACGTCACCTTTGACGAGTCTGTCTCCTTCTACCGCCGCTTTCCCCACCGCGGTCCCCCGGTTACTCCCCCCCTTTTCCTGGTTCCTCCCTCCCTGGTGGTCCCTGCCCCTCCCCCCCCCCCGCCCCCCGTCCGGCCCCCTCTGGTGTGTCTCACGTCACCCCCCTCCCGTCGGCCGTCCCGGTCGACGAGTCTTCTGACTCTGGTAGTCCTCCGGCGCAGTCCTCGCCGTCTGTCCCTCCCCCGGTGTCTCCTCCTCCACCGCCTCCGCAGCCGCCGTCGCCGCAGCTGCTGCAGCCGTCGTCTCCACCGCCGCCGCCGTTGCAGCCGTCGTCTCCGCCGCCGCCGCCGTCGCAGCCGTCGCTGCAGCCGCCGCCGCCGCCGCCGCTGTCGTCGCTGCCGCCGTATGTGGACTCTGGGGGTGCTGGCGTTGAGGTGGGTACTAGTCCCGGGTCTCCTGTCGTGGCTTGTCCCGGCGGACCTGGGGGTGGTACCGGTGCTGGCGGGGTTTCGGGCTCTGGGGGTGTCCCTTCTGGGGGTGCAGGTGTGGAGGGTTCGGGAGTTAGCCGTCGCGCAGCTTGTGGCCCTGGTGTTGGTGTTGTGTCGCCGCAGCAGCAGTCCCCGCCTGTGTCCGCCCTCCGTCTGCTCGGCCTTCCGTCTCCTGACCCTGCGCCTGTTCCTCTCCTGCCGTCTCCCCCTCTTCCCGTCCACGACCCCGTGTTCCCTCTGCCAGACTCGTCCCCGGCTCGTCTTCCCCCTCGTTCCCCTCCTGTGTCCCCTCCTCTGTCTCCTGACCCGACGCCGCCCTCACACGTCTGGTCTCGCCGCCCCTCTCGTGCTCGTCCTGTCTCTCCTGTCCCGCGCTCTCACCCTATGTTGCTCCGTTCCCACGCGTCTCGTCCTCCCCTCCTCCCGTCTCCTCCTCCGTCTTCTCTTGTCGTTGCGTCTCCTCCTCTGTCCGACTCCTTTCGTGCCGCTAGTCCTCTTGTTCCTCGGGTCCTTGCCTCTCTTGTTACCGACCCGTCTGTTCCAGTGTCGAGTCTTGACGCCCTCGTCGCTGCGGTCGCTGACTTCGCCTCTACCCGCTGCCTTGACTACGCCACCGCTCTGGTCTCTCACCCTGCCTGTCCTCCGTCTGTCGGGGGTGCTCCTGCCCTCGGCAGTGACGTCCTGGAGGACCGCCAGTTTGAGCTTGCTTTCCTGTCCGAGGCTGCTCCCCATCTCTGTTCCATGCTGCTAGTCCCTGAGGGTGACCCAGACGCTTTCGACATCCCGACCCCTCGTACTTACGCTGAGGCGGTTTCGGGACTCTGGGCCTCTCAGTGGATAGCTGCCATGGAGCAGGAGATGGCATCTTGGAGATCCACCGGCACCTTCGTCGACGCAGTTCCCCTACCTGGGGTGAACGTGGTCGATGGCCGTTGGCTCTTCAAGGTGAAGCGCCCTCCTGGAGAGCCGCCTGTGTTCAAAGCGCGCTACGTGGCTAGAGGCTTCAGTCAGCGCGAGGGGGTGGACTTCTTTCAGACTTTCGCTCCTACCCCGAAGATGACTACTCTTCGGGTTCTGCTACACGTAGCGGCTCAGCGTGACTACGAGCTTCACTCCCTCGACTTCTCCACTGCCTTTCTTCAGGGCAGCCTTCACGAGCAGGTCTACCTGCGTCGCCCTCAGGGCTTTACTGGCACCTTCCCCCTGGGACCCAGTGGCTTCTGCGGCGGCCAGTCTACGGCCTGCGCCAGGCGCCTCGTGAGTGGCACGACACTTTGCGTGCTACCCTTGCTGACCTGCAGTTCTTTCCGTCCTCTGCAGACCCCTCGCTCTTCGTTCGTGCTGGCTCGACTCCGTTCTACATCCTCGTCTACGTAGACGACCTGGTCTTTGCCACTGCTGACAGGGACGCACTGGCCTCCGTGAAGGCAGAGCTGCTGAAGAGACACACCTGCACTGACCTTGGAGAGCTGCGCCGTTACCTTGGCTTGCAGATCTCCAGGGACAGAGCCGCGCGCACCATCACCCTGACTCAGTCACACTTGGTGCGCCAGGTCCTTCAGAGGTTCGGCCTTCAGTTCTCCTCCGCACAGCCCACCCCTCTTCCTCTGGACCACAGACTCTCCGCTCCAGTTCCTGAGGAGTCGGTAGATCCCAGTGGTCCTTACGCTGAGCTAGTGGGTTGCCTCATGTACCTGATGACTTGCACTCGCCCAGATCTCGCATACCCTCTCAGCATCCTGGCTCGTTTCGTGGCCACTGGCAGGCACCGACCTCAGCACTGGTCTGCCGCTAAGAGGGTTTTGCGTTATCTTGCAAGTACATCGGGCATGGGGTTAGTGCTAGGCGGACGCAGGCCAGTGGTCCTTACTGGACACACAGACGCTTCTTGGGCAGACGACGCCGAGACGCTCAGGTCTTCCCAGGGCTACTGCTTTAGCCTTGGTTCAGGTGCTGTCTCGTGGAGAGCTACCCGCTCTTCGTCTGTTGCCCAGTCCAGCTGTGAGGCCGAGATCTACGCCGGTGCCATGGCGGCACAGGAGCTCCGCTGGCTGACCTTCTTGCTCACTGACTTAGGTGAGCGGCCTAGCTCTGCCCCGGTCCTGTACGCTGACAACAGGGCCATGATCCTCCTGTGTCAGGAGCCTCGACTCGAGGGCAGAGCGAAGCACATCCAGCTGCGGTACTTCCTCCTGCGTGAGCTACAGCAGCGTCGCCAGGCTCGCGTAGTACACTTAGCCTCCGGTGCCAACACAGCTGATATCTTTACGAAGGCACTTGCGCCTAAAGATCATCAGCGGCACTGTGTACAGCTTGGTCTGGTTCCTGTAGTCTCTCACTTACTCGGGCCTTGACTTTGTACTGTCCTATATATCTGTGTGTACACTCAGACTGGACTTGTGTCCTCTTACAGTGGTTGGACTAGTAGTGCCGCCCTGTACTAGTTCTTGCCTTGCCTGTACTCCTTCTGACTGGTCTTTTAGACCCTTGTCTCAGAGGCTGGACTAGTAGTGCCACCCTGAGCTGCTTGTCTAGAACATTCCCCTATGCAGTCCAGGGGGTGTGTCAAACATGTTTAGTTATCATGCTTGTATAGACTGTATAGGGTCATCTTCTAGAGAGTACAACAGTTAGGTATATGTTTGTGTACTCTCTCTCTCTATTTATCAATTTCACTGTTTGATACTAGGATCATGATGCGTGTATGTTTAGATTCTTATAAGCTAGTAAGCGACTATTGTACCGTGCCACTTGAAATGAGAACGATGCCTATTGCAAAGGACAAGAAAGCAAGCTTTCTCAATAATATGCTTAACTACCTAGCCATGCAAAGCTAGGTATTTTGGACATTGACCAGTGGTGCAACTGCCTGAGCACACCATAGACTATAACTTGTGCACACATTGGTTGCACAACAGTTTCAAATGGGCGACACTACTGATTATTCCGATTTTCAATTATTTACTGCAGTCAGCCCCGTCCTTCAGAAATAGTATCCAGCATGGTTCTATATTGTGCCAAGTCCTGCAAACGAGAACAAAGGTGGAACAAATGTAACACGGGTAAATTGAAGTAATGAGAGCAGGCAGCAGAAGCAGGTGACAAACAGGAAAAGGGATATGGGGATAAGGGAGCAGCAGCATCTGGAGTAGGGACAGGGATGTGGGGTGGGAACTGGGTTGTAGCTAGCGCACACATATTAGGAGTGCAACAGGACATGATGTTCACCTCTGTGAGTGCAAAGATGCCAAGATCACTTTCGGCAAGAAAATACCCCCTACCAGTGCAATTTTAGTGCTTCTCCATGCATTGCCTATGTGGAACCTCTGAGGTGAAGGTTCTCACCTCAGTAAACACAGAAACGCCAGTATCATTTCGAGCAAGCCAAGAACCCCTGCGAAGGACCTTGTTACAATTCCTCGTGTGTCCTCTCTGAGTCGAATGATCTCACTTGTGTGAGCTGGCGGTTGTCTCACTCACCTCTGTGAGTGCAAAGATGCCGATATCACTTTGAGTCAGGGGAGAGCCCCTGTGAGGCCAAGATTGACTCCAACTGTGAGGCCAAGGTTTTCCCTGAGTGCTAAGTCGCCGATATCACTATTGCGACCGGGAGAGCCCCTGCGAAGCGACTGTGTCTCCTCTGTGAGGCGAAGATTGACTCACCTCTGTGGGTGCAAACTGCCAATATCACTATTGCGAAAGGGACAGCCCCTGGGAAGAAACCTGGTGCGATTCGCCATGTGTCTGCTTTTTTTTAGGCGAAGATTGACTCAATTTGTGAAGCGGAGATTGACTTACCTCTGTGAGTGCAAAGACACTGATATCACTATTGCGAAGAGGAGAGCCCCTGCGGAGGTCCTTGCTACACTTCCCCAAGTGATTCTCTATGAGCCGACAATTGACTCGCTCCTGTGAGGCCAAGGTTCTCACCTCTGTGAGTGCAAAGACGCCGATATCACTATTGCGAAGAGGAGAGCCCCTGCGAAGGAACTTGCTGCCCTGGAAAATGTAGAGCATGGGGATACCCGTTGACAGCTCCAACTCAATGACCTGCGGGGGATGAGGAGACAAGGGGCGAGGAAAACAGGGGAAGAGGGGAAGGGGAAAACAGGAGAAGAGAAGCAGGCTACCTTGAGTTGAAACACTCGAGAGCCCCTACGACAAGTGAAGCCTGGAACATGTAGGGCATAGTCATTATGAGTGAGCCCCTACGAGTGGACCCTGGAACATGTAGGGCATAGAGACACTCATTGAGACCTCTAGCTCAGTGACCTCCAGCAATACGTGTTAAAATCTGACATGGATATTTGGGGGATCAGAAAATGTGTGAACTATTTTTAAAAGGCAGTGTCAATAAGTCATACGGGACGATCAGTATGGTCGCTACAGAACCCCCACCCTCCCCCTCCCCCTCCCCCTCCCCCTTCCCTGTTTCCCTGCCCTACAAATACCCACATATACTGTTCAGTCTGACAGAAGTTACACACCTCCTGTGAAGTGAGGCTGTCGAGGTACATGATAATAGCCCGGAGCGAGTTGCCATGCGCCGCGATCAGCACGTTCTCGCCTGCTGCCAGTCTCGGCTGCACGTGGTCCTTGAAGTACGCCACGGCGCGCTCAGCGCACATGGCCAGGGACTCCCCGTTGGGCGGCGGCACGTCGTAGGACCGGCGCCAGAGGGTCACCTGCTCCGTGCCATACTTGTCTGCCGTCTCCTTCTTGTTCAGCCCCTGCAGCTCGCCGTACCTGAATACGGAGATCAGAACAGGTTTCATAGGGGTGCAAGGGAGTGCAAGGGGGTGGAAAGGAGGGTTAGACATCTGCGGCACGTCGTAGGACCGGCGCCAGAGGGTCACCTGCTCGGTGCCGTACTTGTCTGCCGTCTCCTTCTTGTTCAGCCCCTGCAGCTCGCCGTACCTGAACGCCAGGATTGGAACGGGTTGGAGGGAAGTGCAAGGGGGTGGGGGGGGGTGCGAGGAAGTGCGGGGGAGTGCAGGGGAGTGCAGGGGAGTGCAGGGGAGTGCAGGGGAGTGCAGGGGAGTGCAGGGGAGTGCAGGGGAGTGCAGGGGAGTGCAGGGGAGTGCAGGGGAGTGCAGGGGAGTGCAGGGGAGTGCAGGGGAGTGCAGGGGAGTGCAGGGGAGTGCAGGGGAGTGCAGGGGAGTGCAGGGGAGTGCAGGGGAGTGCAGGGGAGTGCAGGGGAGTGCAGGGGAGTGCAGGGGAGTGCAGGGGAGTGCAGGGGAGTGCAGGGGAGTGCAGGGGAGTGCAGGGGAGTGCAGGGGAGTGCAGGGGAGTGCAGGGGAGTGCAGGGGAGTGCAGGGGAGTGCAGGGGAGTGCAAGGGAGTGCAAGGGAGTGCAAGGGAGTGCAGGGGAGTGCAGGGGAGTGCAAGGGAGTGTAAGGGAGTGCAAGGGAGGGTAGATATCAGTGGGAGATCGTAGGGTTGGCGCCAGAGGGTGACCTGTTCGGTGCAGTACTTCTCTGCTGGCTCTTCCTTGTTCAATCCCTGGGGTACAATGTCTTCTCCTCCAGGACGAACTCCTGCAACACTGAACGAGACACCCAAGTAGACCAGACTAGACGAGACGTTTCGGACGGTAGGGAACAGACTGGACTGGAGAATGAGCCGAATAGTTCTGGGGGGTGTATTCATCGGGGCTTGAAGGCCAAAAAGGACTCGCACAGTTGGAAAAAAACTCAGTGCCTGCCATAATTCGAAGTAGAGTATCTTATGGGACTCACGTGCACCCGTTGAGCTCCCACGCACTGATTGATTTCCCCTTTCCCTCTCTGCGCTCTGGCAGACAGAAATCGGGATGGCCTTAGACATAGACTTGAGAGGAGCAGCAGGCTCGTATTTAGGCGAACAAACACGTGGGACTCACATGCGCTCGTTGAGCTCCCTAGCGGTGTTGACGTGAGTGGTCTCGCCGTCTGTGCTACGGCAGATAGGAACCTGGATGACCTTAGACATAGACTTCAGAGGAGCAGCAGGCTCGTAAGTAGCTTTGCAAACATGTGGGTGGGACTCACATGCGCTCGTTGAGCTCCCACGCGGTGATGACGGGAATGATCTCCTCGTCCGTGTTCTGGCTGAAGATTCGGCTCCAGTCCTTGGCCCTCTGGCTGTACTCGTGCAGGATGACAGGCACCTGGACGAAAGGTAAAGGATGGGGAGTGAATGACGGATATTATCAATAAGAGACTGATTCGGCTCCAGGGAAATGACAACAGGGATAGAACGGGGAGTAGCGGACGGATACAGTCAAGGAGTAAGAAATCGTTACCACCGTCGCGGACCATACTTGACTAATTCGTGCATTAAGCTTTATTCCCCCTTTGCTCGAGGTTGCCACAGCGAGTGAAAAAGGACCATGTGAGCTTAGCCAATGACGATCAACGCAGGATAAGGCATCCGGTCACGTTGTCTCATCGTGAAATGGCTGAACATTATCGCCCATTGTTCCGGCGGCGCTGTCGCTCACCTTAAGCGATGCTGCGTCATGACCAGCATCGCGGTCATTTGATCGTGCTGACTTCTGAGTCGGCTTCAGTCACATTTGCTCACCTTGTTTCGGCGATGCTGCGTCATTGCAAGCATGGCGGTCATTTGAGCGCGGATCAAGGCGGAGGTGAAGATGACATCCACGGGGATCTCGGAGATCCGCTTTCCGGCTTCAATGGCCTCGTTGACACCCTTCTCTGACAGTGGAACGTCCACGCAGCCCGTGAAGAGGTTCTTGGAATTCCAGAGAGACTCCCCATGGCGGATAAGGATCAATGCAGAGGCCTCTGCAGAACACAGGTTGAACGAATAACCGATAAACGGAAATTTCAGCAGGGTATCAAGTTAATCGTTGACATTAGATTCGACTTTCGCGGATAACGAGGATGAGCGAGACAGTTTCGTCAGATTCTATGACAAGTTGGAAGCGATCGCATACTTTCTGTCGCTGCTCCGTTCTGTTGAGCGTCCGGAAATGCCTCGGCACGGATAGCTCTCCGGAAGGAAGCTGACCCACTGCATAAAGAATAACGCGTGTGTGTGTGTGTGTGAGTGTGTGTGTGAGTGAGTGAGAGAGAGAGAGAGAGAGAGAGAGAGAGAGAGAGAGAGAGAGAGAGAGAGAGAGAGAGAGAGAGAGAGAGAGAGAGAGAGAGAGAGAGAGAGAGAGAGAGAGAGAGAGAGAGAGAGAGAGAGAGAGAGAGAGAGAAAGAAAGAAAGAAAAAGAGAAACAGTGAAGACCGTTAATCGGTATTGGCATAAAAGAGCACTAAAGTGCCATAGAAAACATAGATATATGACGGCAGCATACCTTTCGATCTTTGCGTGAGACTTGAAGTTGGAATGAAGGGTTGCAGGTGAAGTTGATCGGGAGAAAGAAGCATTAACAACTGACTTCTTCGAGGATGGATTCGAAATGCTCTTCGGTGTCTGAGAGCAGTGAACCGCATTTCCAGCCTGAAGGGCCGCCATGTTATGAAATCGGCGTGACTATATAGCTGGAAGTCAACAGAATATATTTTACAGAAGCTGATCGTGACACTATTGATCAGCAGACTGACAGCAACCGCTGAAGCCTTGTTACCCACAGCTGCGAATGATTAGTTTCAGCTGCGAAAGATATATCAGGACCCTCAGACTTCAGGCTCCCTGGACTTGAGAAAGACTTCCTCAAAAGGCTAGCTAGCTTTCCTAGTTATGGAGCTTTCACTGATCAAATGCAGCCACAACTACAAACCTATCTTCACTTCAGCACACAAGGAAGTCCCTCTCTCCAAAACGTTCATTCTAGTGAGGTTGAGTGAGCTTGTTTGCGTGCTAGAGCGATTCTTTTAGCAAAACGTACGGTTTGATGCGGTTCAGCGGGTATCAGAGAACTCTGCTAACACCGTGATGATCCAGATGCCCCACTCCAGTCACCACCACCACCACCACCACCACACGAGTACCACAAGCAACAGCAGTCAGCATCAGGGTCTGGACCAGTAGCCGTTGAACCAACCAGATGCGCCGAACCAGACCAATTAGTAGCCAGTCAGAAACCAGCAAGCAAGGATAATCCCGCCAGCCGAGCCTGAAGCCTGCTGGTACGGGCCTGTCACTGACGTTTGGCGGGGCCCACTGTGACGCCCCAGCCAAGGCCTTTCGCTGATGCCGAGGTGACAACGCTGTGCTTTGGCGCTCGGGTCAGACCCTCCTCGTGAATGTTCGTGAGACGTCGCTAGGCTGTGAGCGATGCTCGTGACAGCTGTTGGAATTCGCGAATTCGGCCGAGCGACGTTACGGCCGTCCGTCTCAACGATCTTGCGGCTGTGAGGAGAAATTGATTTACCACAAGTCATTGGGCGATAATCCCGAGGTCAGATCAGGCCTGGGATCCTCCGTGACTCGACAGGTCGACCTTCGCACGACATGTGGCAGGCTTTTGTTGGTTCAACCCTGGCCAATCCAGGTTTGCTGCACGACCAGTCCAATCCGACAGTGCCATGGAAGAAATCGGCTCATCTGACCCAATAACGAAAGCAGAGCGTGAAAAGTCAGCTGCGCGTCACTCCAGCTCAGCAGGCTCTGCCGCCACCACAATTCCCCAAAGCTGCTGCTCCCCTTCGCTGGAAATTGGCGTCCTGGCAGTCCTTGGCCTCACGAAGTGACCCATCTGACAAAAACGTCATCCGAAATCCAGCAAACTGGGAGACGGAAGTTATTAAATATACAGATGGAATTCATAAGTAACTTCTTATAGCTATAAGGAATTCATAACTCGTGATATTGAACCCTCTCTTATCGTTTCCGCCCCCCACACGGCCTCCTCTTCTACTTTGATGCTTGGAATTACGATTCTGAACATCCGACATAGTTTTGTTCATCACATATGTACATACGTGTCCCAAGCCCACTCACATATCGTAGTACCTGTTGTGATAAATGAAGTTTTGCATTCCTGCAAGTTTCGTTTTTGGTGTAGCTAGCGGTATCGAGTTTCTCTGTAAGCAATCATGCCCGAGTGCTGATGTCAGCAAAGCATCGCGGGTCTCGGGATTACGTCAGCATACCGCTTCAGTTACGCGATTAAGCGTAACGAGTCGTTTCAGTCACGCAAACAGTCGCGACCCTATAGTATGACGAATAGGTCGCATAGCGCGCAACTAGCCGAACAGGTACTTTCCCTAGAGCTATAAATCCTCGTAATGTATTTCTATTATTAACCTTGACTTTCCACAGAATTATGTGCTCAGGTTATTCAGTCTTCGACTACCCACAAGTTCATGTGCTCAGGTTCACTCTTATAAGACTTCCGTTGTCTTACTGTCTACCATTCCAGTAAAGATCCTAGGTTAACACTTGAGGTTTTCCAAGTGTTCGTGTTTGCACACACGCATCAAGTAAAATATTATTCAAGATGACGAGGAAACTCTGCAACTCGCACCTGGCTTATTCTTCGACGCTGCAACTACTCTCGACAATTCTTTAACTACCAATCTCCCAGAGAAAGGTTACTCATTTTCAAGGCTTTTACTTCCTTCATATTTCACCATCTTGATTCTTGCGTGGCTGACTATAGTAGCAAGCGAGCTCAGTACCAGCTGCAAACTTTCCTATACAACAGAGCAGCCGATTATCACCCTACGAGCTCCAACGACTATGAGCAAGGCATGGGCATCAACTGCTGCCAAACCCCTCGTCATCGCGTTCAACAATGCAACGAAGCAGAATGGTTGAACAATATACTACACGAGCTACGTGAGCAGCTGCATGCACTGCTGACTCAACAAATTTCTCTGTCCGAAACTGCACCATCAGATCTGCCCGTCATTTCACGGTTCTTTATCAAGCCTCCAAATGATGTCGAGGCTCCTCTCCACCACGTGCAACACTCTCGTGATTTTGCATTCGTCCCCTTCGGCCTTGCCACGTTCATTGGCGCAACCCCAACCACTTTCAACCCGACTCCTTTTTACTCTGCACAAGTGAGGGGGGGAAAGAGGATCTGACGCACTTCGTCAAAGCCAAAATTCGTCATCAACAAGGGAAGAACGCGATAGGTCAACCATTTGACCAATTGAATGACCGCCGACTACTTACAACTCATGAAGTTTACACGTCACAAGATTCCGAATTGCAGATTTCATTCGCCGAACTCCAACCACGACGTGACTACATCGAACTTCCAGGAATGAACGGGAGTGTTGTGACAAACGAAGTTTTGCATTCCTGCAAGTTCCGTTTTTGGTGTAGCTAGCGGTATCGAGTTTCTCTGTAAGCAATCATGCCCGAGTGCTGATGTCAGCAAAGCATCGCGGGTCTCGGGATTACGTCAGCATACCGCTTCAGTTACGCGATTAGGCGTAACGAGCCGTTTCAGTCACGCGAACAGTCGCGACCTTATAGTATAACGAATAGGTCGCATAGCGCGCAACTAGCCGAACAGGTACTTTCTGTCAACTTATACATATGTTGCATGTAGAAGTTATAGGCTAGTCTAGGTGTGTGCTTCTAGTGAGTACAACCCCAACAGGTATATGTTCTAGGTTTCTCACACTACTCAAACATTCTCGTATTCTAACATGGTATCGAGTAGGTTAGGTCCACCCAACCGCTTCCGCCCACGCCCTAGCCTCTCGCCTCCTCCTACCTACCTAGCCCGGCCCGGCCCTTAGCGCCCGCGTGGCCTGCAGTGCCCGCCCCCCCCTTAGCGCCCGCCTCTTAGCGCCCTCCTGACCCCGTCGTGCCCTCCTGGACCCCGTCGCGCCCTCCAGGTCCCGTCGCGCCCTCCAGGCCCCGTCGCGCCCGCCTGGCCTCGTATCGCCCTCCTGGCCCCCGTCGTGCCCTCCTAGCCCCGTAGTGCCCTCCTGGCCCCCGTCGCGCCCTCCAGGCCCCGTCGCGCCCTCCTGGCCCCCGTCGCGCCCTCCTGGCCCCGTAGTGCCCTCCTGACTCCCGTCGCGCCCTCCAGGCCCTGTCGCACCCTCCTGGCCCCCGTTGCGCCCTCCTGGCCCCCGTCGCGCCCTCCAGGCCCTGCAGCGCCCTCCTGGACCCCGACACGCCCTCCAGGCCCCCGTAGCGCCCTCTTGGCCCTCGTCGCGCCCGCCTGGCCCCACCGCGCCCGCCTGGCCCTGTCGCGCCCGCCTGGCCCCAACGCGCCCGCCTTGTGAGAGTACGACCCCGTTACACCACTTGTCCCTTTTCTTATTTCCTTCCTCCTTTCATTTCTCTTTTTGTCCCGTCTCATTTGGTTTCCTATTCTCCATTTTCCATTAACCATTGGTTTATCCTGCTATTATAATCATATCACCGACCAGGCTTGGGATGTACTGGCGCGCTATATCTAGCGTAATCCTGCTGTAATCCCTAAAAGCCAATAGCCCCGCGTGGCTATACGCAGGATGATTCTATCTTCTAGAAGGGTCTATTCCCTTAGGATAAGATAAACCTGGTTACCTGATGTACTCTGGAAGTATAAAAGTGCCTTGTACTAATCGATAGTGCAATCTTTCCTCGAGTCATTCGATCCTGTAACACTTGGTAATCAGAGTTTTTCTCACTCGGCCGCGCTCAACAAAGCAGCAGCAGCGGGAAAACCTGCCTCGAAAAACCGCCGGGGGCGACCAATTCGACGCCGATTCTAGTAATCACCAGCTCCGCGTTTTTTTCGAATTACCCCCCCCTCGCGTGTGTTTTGAACAGGATGGCAACCTTCGACAACACCGAGGTTACCTAGCAGCTCTTTGCGAGCATCGCAGCCCTTCAGGAGGAGATGCGAGCGGATCGCGAAGCGTGGCGAAACGAGTTCGAGAGAGTAACTCGACTCGCCGGAGCGCAGCACGATTCGACAACGGCGACGACGCAGCAGTCGCAGCAGTTTCTTGAGGCTCCAAAACCGTGCCCACCTGAGCCGTTCGATCCGAGCGATCGAAACTCCGAGGCCCGCAGATGGATCGCCGGGATGGAGATCTACTTCGCAGCCGTCGGATGGAGCTCGCCAGTCTGGGACGGTCAACGCGTACGACTCGCAGCGACACTGATGCGAGGGCCGGCACTCGAGTGGATTGGCGGCAACAGCACTTTTATCCACGGTGAAGCCACGTGGCAGCAGTTCCGCGCCGACCTGCTGAAACGCTTCAAGCCGATAAATTCCAGTTTCCCTGCCCGGGAAAAAGTTCATCGCCATCGACAGTTCGGGAGTGTAGCACAGTACACGCAGCAGATGGAGGAATTTTATAACCGAATTCCCGACCTGACCGAAGGGGAAAAAGTACAATCGTACCTTGCCGGGCTGAAGACCGAAGTCAAACGCCAGGTAGCAGCGTCAAACTACGCGAGCTACAGTGACGTCGTTTCGGCAGCGGAGCGCTTCGACATGGTCAACGCCGGGACACGACGGACGCACGTCGGCAGTACGCGACAGGGCGACCGCTCGGCTCACCCCACGTTCGCCGACCCGATGGAAGTCGCCAGGTTCGAAGGGCGGCCACGTCCGAAAAACACCAACTACACGTGTGATTTTTGCGGGGTGCCGGGTCATCGAATCTTCGACTGCGACAAAATGAAAGCCGCACGCGCAGAGTATCGGGCACGCAACAGTGGCGGAAATCCTTCGGCCAATCAGAAGCCAAAAAACGGGAGTCGCCAGTGATTGCGGATCTAGCTGGTGAAAATAAAAAGATCCGGAAGCGGCTGCGGGATTCCGGGAAAATCAACTTCGACGAAGCTGA